GAACCCAGCGTTGCCAAAGTTCAGGCAACGTCTTGGATATACTGCACATGCAATTGCTCGAACACTATTTCAAATTAATGGTTGCCCATTGAGCATCATACTTTCTAGATGCATATATATATTCTGGCTACGACAACAAACAGTTGTCCGGTTTTCTACCTGTGAATAATGGCAACACTGTAAAATACCATGACAACATTCCAATTTCTAAAATGTAAACTTTGTCAACAGATATGTCTATTTCTATTTTTATCGTCGGTGGTCTGGATCAAGATCCACACAGACCACCGAATGCTTCATAATTACAGTACTTGCTCACCAGCTGGAGGAATCGAAGTTTTTCGCGATTATAAAATTTTTCTCTTCTATTGGTGTGGAAAGAAACAAGCGTATTTGAGATAGCGAAATTCGGTTTAAGTTCTCAAGCTCCCTGTATCACCTTTTTGTGAATGTTTTCTACAATTTGGATAAAAAGAAATAACTCGGAAATGGCGTACTTTCGACCTAGGCATATAAACTCTGCAATAAAGTAAGATTCATCATAGAATACAAAAAATGACATTCATATCATATTGAAGGAATCCATATAAATGATACTTAATAATAAATGGCATCACGTAGGTTGACTCTCCAGTTCCTACGCAATGCGGTCATCAGTTCATAAAGCACAAGTTAGGCCCTATCGAAATAAGACAGCGCCATAGACCTTTTATCCTATATGGAGGATAGCTGCTATGCTTTCGTTCGTTGTCTGAAAGACCAAGCCTACACCTTGCTGATGAGTTGCCAAAAAAAGGAAGGCACAGCTGTCTGTGGTTGTACAGACGAAAGCTGCATGTTCAAATTAGACCCTCTACGAGAAAAGTTAGGTACGAATATGTATAACAGAGAAATTAGACGGATCAAGTCCGCAATATCTGAAAACATGATGGCTCATAGATGGCAGAACGCCCACAGAGCACCAGTGATGCAGGTAATAAGCGAACACCGGCACGCCGGCCGCGGCCGTTAGCCAGCAGCCACAGCAACGCTTGTCGAAAACATTTTTCAATCGTTTTAAGGGCAAATCTACGGGGCAGCCTATGACGTGCAAAATATGTCTAATAGGTGCACAAAATTATCAGGGTTAGAAGTGTACACCCTCCTCCACCCTCCAGCAACCTCCACCTCCCAATTTTTACCCTGATCAGGACCCTCTGAGACGTCAAAAACTGAAGTTTGAGCGATTTTATTTTTTAATTTTCGTTTTTGACCTTTTTCTCCGTCGTCTCTGTACCGATTTTCAAAAAAATAAAGCTTTTTCCTCCGTAGTTGTAACCTTGTGTGAAAATTTCATCCAAATCCAACCAGTACTTTCCAATTTATAGACGGGCCAAAGATTAACGGACAAACACGGACAGACAGCCAGAACTGAGTGAGAGATACTTTCATGCCAGTACTCGTGGATAGTAAAAGTATATCAAGAATTTTAAAATTGCTTTATGGAATTTTTGCGTTCTTACTTGAAAGATTTCTGAACAAAATTCAAACTTGTCAGGTCATCGGATCCGAATTTTGGTGATGCCGAATTCCAGGTGCATACAAACCAAAGCAAAATAGATACAAGTGTCGTCGTTCCCCGTCTACCACTCGCCACCTAACAGCTGCCACCTTATGGATATCTTTCGTATAGGATGATTTTTTTCTATTCCAGGTAGGAGCCTGCATGGACGGCTTCCTGTTCGGCGCCTGCTGCGAGCTCCCCCTCGGGGTCTCTGTAGGCGACCTCCTCCTCGGCGTGGACGACTTCTCCACCGGTAACGTGGAGAACAACCTGTCCACCCAGCGACCCCAGACGACGCCCTACATGGGCATCACCTCCAGTGGGGTGTCGCAGATCGCCCAGTCGCTTCTCAACACTGGGCTGCTGCCCACGGCCCAGGACAACGAGATGGTGCAGATCAACAGCGATCAGTACTTCGGGAATGCGGGGGTGACGCACCCGATGCCGGATACTTTGCTGATGAACCAGCAGGATAACGAGATCGATCCTGGGTATTTCAGGTAAGAAAATTATGATTCTGTGGGAGATATAGAATTCGGAATAGATAGAACGAAATGGTATGCGATTTTTTTATCCACAATTACGTAGACAGTAGTCAGAATGCAAGTGCATACTACTAGTGGATCAGGCTTGAGCCGCAAGTAAGACAGTTGTTGATATTTCAAATAAAAATCATAATTTTCTGGGAAAATATATAAAATTGCGTGGTTTCTATGCAGTTTTAGTGTTACATACAATAATTGTCGAAAACAATGAGAGTTTTTGTCGATAGCGAAAAACATTTTGAGCGGAACAAAAACTTACTAGAAAGCCAAGAAAAATAATTTTCAACGGTATGCATATCATATGGGACTAAAATTACATCAACTTTCAATGCGCAAATAGCAAGACACCCAACGGTACACCTAGCGGTGACCTTCACTTTGTCCTTAGCTATGACCTTGAATGTCATTTCTAGGTCAAATTGACTTTTCCGCAAGGAAACTCTCAATTTTGATACCAGCACCGAAAATGGAGTTTAGCGATATCCAGAATTCCCCTATAAGACAAGACCTTCACTAGCCGAAAACCAGTCTGCCTCGCCTTTGCTGCACATTGGTCCTCAACCTATCTCACCTTTACTGTCCATATATTAGCCTGTCTTGCCTTTATTGACCGGCACGGGTATCATGTACAAGACCTACAAAATGTCAAAAAAAAACCTATATGTCAACTTACAGACTAGGTAGTTTTTAGGGCGCAAGCAGTCATTCCACGTTTGCTCACTAGGATCGTTGTGAACGTCCATCTATGGAGGAATCACTCAACTATAAACTACACGCATTATTGGTTGCATAGTTTTGTGAGGCTGACTGAACCGTGTCTGTAGTTTTTATCTCTGAGAAGAAAGTTGGTTGAATAGCAAGATCGCATCTAGATGATTATGTGTATTGGTCTGCATGTGTATAAAATCAGTGATATTTGCTTGTTGCGCTTTCTGAAGAGAGGTTATGTTCAAAGTTATAAATTACGAAAAACTGAGGAGAATTACGGGCTTGTAATTAGACAGTGTACAGTGAACATAATTATTTCTTATCTCTCTCACTTTTGAAATTCAGCAAATTTGTATATGTAATTTCCAGAATGGATAAGAAAAAGTGGATGCGCAACTAACTTCTAGCTTTGAATCTCAATTAGTTGTAATTGAGACAAGCACTCAATGTAATTATCATCAAAACATACAACTTACCGCTTAGACCTCCAGTAACGCCATCTCAGAAACAGATATCACATCAGAGCCAAAGATTGATAACAGGCCGCATGACGTTTAGGCTACACGTACAACTAAGTGCTATAACTAAATAACATCTTGTAGAAAAACCTACATAATGTCAAAAAAAAAAAATCGGCATCATGTCACGTTTCAAGATTCGTGATACCCGTGCGGAAATAGTCTTACCACAATACCTTTAATAATCAGCCCAATGTCTCTTTTTCCACTTGCAATGATTATCGGTCGGTTCAGTTTAATCCACAAACATGAGACATTTGACCTTGAAATAACCGCTATGTGTGATTTTATAGTCAGTTAAACGTTTGAACATATTTTTCTCCATTTTCAGCGCCGGGATCGAAACTGAGGGTTACCATGTGAAAAAAATCAATTTGATCTGTAATGGACTTGAAGGTCATAACCAACGTCAGAATGAAGATCGCCGTCAGATCTTCAGCTATTCACTGTATCACAACATTTCATGAAACATCAACAGTTTATCTTGAAATAACTTCTGGATGCGATTTTAGCCTCCATGACAATTTACAACGTTTAAAAGAATATTTCTTTGGCTTTCTACTCCTGCAATAAACAGTTGAGTTCCCATTTGAAAGAATGAACTTGTCCCTGGAAATGACATTCAACGTGAATGTCAGCGTCAAATTCAAGGTCATCGCTAGACGGGTCATTTGATTTTCTAAAACTTTTGTATTCAAAGTTTTTCTAGCACCGTCAGTTTGCAAGACATTTGGGTGTGTCCATACTTTTGGGACAACCTGTATATAGTCATCGGCATTGCACCTCAACACTGGAATTTTAGCCGATTAGTGAAGTAACTTTGATTTATTTATCATTATTTCTTATTTATGAATATTGGAGAGAAACCAAAATTACTTAATGGATGCAGGAAAGAGCAAATCAAAGCTAACTTAATTATTTTTTTTTTGGTGCAGTAGTAGAGCGTTTGGTTAGCTATCTTCAGTTAGAAGCCCCACTAGAGAAATTTTGCTACCCGCCGTTCTGCAAAAACCACCAACTTAGTGATTGCAATCATGTATATTTATAGAGTTTATTGCGATTATAATGAGTATTTACCCGTACCTGAGAGATCATCGTCTTGATTCATTCCTGTACATGTTTGATTAGCACATTCAAATGTAACGGTATACCTAAATTAGGATATTACATACACGCACATCGAAAGTTACAGCAGTGTATCGATGAACTGTAGTCTGTGGAATTTTCGTTCATTAGGCATGATTTTGCTTTAGATTCTTGATCCTGCGGCGGTCCTACAGATTCCGATTTGTGTGTCCGAAACTGTAGAAAAACCGTCAATAATGTTTTGTTATCCTAGATACACGCTAATCAAACATGTAAAGAAATGAATCAATGACCTTCGGTACTGAAAAACATATATCATGGGAGGGACAACTCCTAAAACGTCCCCATATTGTGCACAAAGCCATTAGCTTGCAAATTTCAAGAGCTGATCGGACTCTCATCTGGTGATCACACCCTCATCCCTCACCTCCCTTGCAGGCGCCCATGACCGCACGTTAATCGCCACATACACGTAAAAAAGTAGAATAAGATATAGGACCCAGAGAGATACTTAACATTTAACAAATGTATTATGATATGACGAGTCACAATGAACAAACGTTTTTGAATTACAGGCCAACTCAGCCACCATATTCAGAAGAAAAGATGAAGACTACACTCGAGTCGGAAGGTAGTACGCCACTGCTGGGCATTTCCCTGTCGAATGCCCCTCTAGAATACACTACACCAGCAGGTTTCAACAAGCCCATGTTCCGGCCGAAACCTTCGTCTAAGCCTTCCGAAGACAAGTTTGTCCTTGTACCAACGATCTCACATGACACGAGTCGACCTAACAAGACCCAAGAGTACAACTCAATTGTAAACATACTCAACATGTTGAATAATACGTCCACAAACAGACCATTCCTTTCAAGTGACAGGACAACCACGACTGGCGGTCTCAGCAGCACAACAAGAATACCCGACTATAAAATAACCTCTAGACAGCCACCATCTACATCTTACGTATTCAGTACGACTATACCACCACGCAGGACGACAAGTACAACCACAACAAAGAACACAAGACCAACAAAGAAGAAGCAAAGCAGCAAACCTACGAAGAAACCGACTACTTTGTATATTTATTCTTTGGCACCAACCAAGACCACATTTGCTAACTCACCATCAGCATTCATAACCTCTGCTAGACCTCCTTCGACATCATATACCTACGGTAGCTCACAACCTACTAGAAGGCCAATTCAGACAAGTCAGGTGAGCGGTCCTGGATTCACAGTGACTTCCAGCCCAATCTTCACCAGTAAGTTTCCAACACCTGCTCCCACAGTTATAGTACTTGGTCCCATAACTGACAACGAGGTCGCAACCGAGCCATTTATACCAACTACCTATGATCAACGACCTGCGACATTCTCAAGACCTACACAGGTGCCCCAAAGAAAACCTCCAATCAGTCCCGTGAATCACGTCACCATCAACAATCACGTGACTCAGAATATATACAGTACTAGTGAGAGACCTTTGCCTACGGTTTTGATCACACCTAAGCCTAGTATATCATCAACCTTGCGGCCACAAGCAGAAGACCAAGATACTGTGGAGGTGGTTTCAGCTACTCCATCATCTGAAGATGTCAACTTCCCTCCTGTAAGGCATCCAAACTTGAACCTTTCTATTCCTGCACTAAACGAAGACGACATCACTACACCAATTTTTGTTGAAGATGAAGCACTCAATGCCAATATGGAGTCGTTTGTGAATAAGATCATCCAAGACTTGCAGCAACCATTTCACGATCTGAAAGACATAGTGTACAACAGAAACAAGACCTCATCGTCAGTGCTGACTTTGAGTACTACAACGAAGAAACCTGTGAAGAAGCAAGGTACTACTTCGGCTGGAACGACAACAAAGAGACCTGCTGGTACTACGAGGCCGACGAGATACCCAGCGACGGCTTCAAGACCTGGAACGACATCTAGGCCGGTGACAACAAAGAAGACTACAGTTAGGAGGACTACGACCACAGTGACAACCCGGAGACCAGCTTCGACTACTACGAAAAGAGTGAGAGCGACTACGAGAAAGCCGATAACGACAACTCAGAACTTGATAGAGCATTCTACTGAGCCTATTGTTATTGATAACGATGATTACAGAACACGTAAGTACACTTTTCTATATCACTGGTCAACAAACTTCAACTTTTTGTCTGTATCCTGAATGGCAATTCATTATTGCTGGTGGCTCGAGAAAATAAAGCAACAGCCATAGCATGTTTAATACACTTTATTGAATAATAACATATGAAAAAACTACCCGGAAGTGGAAAACATATTTACTACAGTAATATTGGTAAAAATATTTTAAAACATAAGTTCTGGAGTTTAAAAATATAAAATAAAAAGACAAATATCAACTTTTTTTAACTCTTTTAGGCCCACTTTCACCAACAACAGTCCGTTATTCTCCACCTATAAGGTAACAGACCGTCAGATACAGCGAATGAGCTTCAAGTTCCAATCAACAAATTTTAGCAACCAATAGCTATGAAATGTTGAAAACAAAATACTGTCAAAGTATGAGATGACAGCTTGTCATTGAAACATGACCAGCTTATTGAATATTAAGAAATTACATATAATTCAGTCAAAATTTTAAGAAATGCTTGATTTTTGAATTAAATTCATGTTTTAATTACTATTGTTGATTTTTTTATTCATGTATATATTATTTTCCTCAATTGGTATGTGATACTGGGTATTCTTTCCTATAAACCTCTTGCAGATAGCCATTAAGCACCTACTTGATGACAGGTTCTACCAAAAGATATTGCTCGTTTCCAGACATTCATTCATTTACTTGCCGTTCATCAGAACCATTATGGCACCTTAGATTGATATTCCCACAAAACAATTCTGGTTTTTTGATATCCATACATCCATAAAGTTGAATATTTTTCGTTGTTCAGGAACTGAACAAACATCCACACTATATTCACAGCGATTAATAAATTCCCAAATATACGCCTTAAAGCTACCATCAAACCTAAAACCTGCAAAAAAACTACAAATTTGCCATATTTTTCTTTTTTCACGAGTACACATTCTAGGTTATATTTATATTAGACATTATTTGAATACAGCTGATTATTGCATTTCAAGGAGTGACACATGTGTGGGATCTGTCAACTCTTGGTACCAGTCACAAAACATATTATACTCTGAAGGTTTAATTCCATGCTATTCAATGACACCACGGTGACTTGTGTGGTTATCAGCGGCCATTTTGTGAGGGTGCGACAGGGTTGCCAGATTGTGCATTAATATCCCACTTCACCCTCCTGCTCCCAGTGGAGTAAGTTCCGCCAACTGTTGAAATATACTCTACTATGCTTTATAAAACTATTCGTAACATTTTTCCCAAAATCATTGCGCAACACTTGAAAAAATGCAAATGAAAATTTAAAATTATTTCCATGACGCCGCAAAATTGCTCCGTCGGTACCTTGGGTTATACATCTTGACAGTAGGGATGTTCGATACGATCCTATATTTAGAAGTATCAATACATTTCACGCATATCGTCATCTTACGATCCGGACTGTGTCAGAAAGAGTGACTGCCATTTGGCTGCGACATTAACCTGCCAAATCAGACATATCTTTCATTATTTTCAAAGAAATTGTACAAAATCTTCAAATTTGTGAAGTTAGTGAGTTTCACTTCATATGTTGTTACCAGACATGCCCAAATCATCAGTTGCTGCCGTGATATTCATCCCGACCACTGCATGTCCACGGCTAGGCGACCTGTATGTTAAATTTGTATTGATAGGGCAGCAGGTTATGCTATGAATCATATGTCACACTGTTTGCGCACTGATTGCAACGGTTAGATGATACCAAAAATATTTTCATAAATAGGAGATCTTTCCCATTCCGGTTCGAGCAATCTATCAAAGATGCTTATAATCATGATACCTAGTAAATTTTCACGAAAAAAATTCAAAACCAGCAAATTTAAAAGATTCATTAAGCACCCTCCACCACGGGACGTGATCGTCGTTATACTTGGCCAGTCAAAAAAAGACAAACAATAAACATTAGTAGTTTTTATGATTTTTGGACTTAAAAGACATTATTTGTGAAACATTTTTCATAATTTTTTGTCTACGTCCATAGTAATTGCATTATGCATCAGGGAGATGTAGGGTTTGACACGTCTTACAGATATTATCTGTGTTTTAGGATATATGTTTTTATTGCTTCGAAGAAATTCATTAACCCATAAATTATTAAATGATTACTATTATGACGTAAAGGAAGATGAGGAATTGGATGGAATGTATTTTATATTCTATTTTCTTGCAAAATACAGACCAATCCACACTATTCAACAGGTATGTAATGATAACTTTCAGTATATTGAAGTTGGTAAATTCGAGAGTGTCATGCATTAACAAACGTCCAAATGTGCTGCCAAATTTAACAGCTAGAAAATCGACCAATTATTTGGCGCATTCCCATTTGCTGAGGGGGATAACGGATTGTTAAATGTAAACCTATAACATATATCAAAATACATGAAAGTTGTCCTGTTTTTTCTGTAAAAAAGCATCATGTTGGAATCAAAAAGTGGTCTTGTTTATAATACAGTCGAATTTTCCGATTGGTCCATAATATTAATGTTGGTGAAATTGGGTTTAAAACGTCTATATACAAATAAAACTATATTAAATAGAATTGTTATGTTATGTTATGTGAGTCTTCGATACTGAGTAAAACAGCTTACTGCAATATCGTTTATTAACCCTGTCTGGACGAAACAACACAATAAAGGCTACAAAAATTCAAAATCACGTTCCCGCTATATAAACAAATTAGGAGGGTACGATCAGGTTTCTCACTCAATAGCTTTCATGAATTGGTTAAAAGAATCCGATATGTTCAAATACAACTTGGTCACATATGTCATCAAAATACTTAAAACCTCTGCTCCCTTATCTTAGACAAAAGCTTGTTTATAGCAATTTGATTCGCAATTTGAGTACGTGCAACAACAAGTTACCAAATTGTTAAAAATCATACCAAATCTTTTTAAGGCGAAAATAAGGCCAATTACGTTGAATAACGCTTTCTATAGCATTGACGAATATTTCAATTGTGTATTTGAGTGATGATCTCTACTGTATTCCTCAACGTTTGTCTCATATTGTGATGGTATGTTAGTCATTCTACTTGTTATGATTATTTTATGATGTACCTGAAATTGACAATTCCAATACTACTAATTGTGTAGTCATCCGGTAATAAGGTTATTATTATTATTATTATTCTCTCATTGCCTCAGTAGAGATTAAGGACAACAATATTTCTACGCTACTTCACGTACAATGCGGTGAAGATTAATTCATTTGACCGAAACTTTATTAGCAGTTTTTCAAAAAAAAAAAACCTTTAAGATCTGTTAATTAAATGCTTAATTGTTTTTTATTTTTATTTTTCTTTGCAAATGGCGACTAGGCTATATACTTTTCGATTTTTTTTTACTGGTGACTTCCCTTTAGGCTAAGTTTCAGGTTAAGGCTGCAATAAGCTTTATACATGGTTAAGTACAAATGGCCATTGGCCAAACTTCGCCATTTGTAACTGTATTTGTTACAATAGAGTCGATTTAATTGAATTGAATTAGGAAATGTCTCGTATTTCCACTAAGGATTCCAAAACGTCTCCAACTTCGTTTTTTTGGTATTCTTTAGGCTAACAATGATTCTTAAGCGTAATCTGCACAGAGGGGTCAAGGTTAAAAAAGATTTGTTTCGTTTTTCAACGACGTTCTTCTAGTCACATTGGCTGGAATAATTTTCAGGTTGTTGAAAAATTTAAATGAGAGGCAGACGAGGCAAAAGATTTCCGTTTTATAATCAAGTTTGCCGGTTACCTCTCAACATAAATTAAGAGATTGCCGGCTGTATCCCGGTACAAATGTGCTTGCACAATAAATTAAATAAAAATGTTTCTCCGCTCCGCACAAAGGCTTCTTAAATTACTCTGAACAAGAAAGGTCCATTCTAGCTTCTATCTGAAGTTGGTCGTTTTCGAGCTATAAGTGATTAAAAGTCTGAAGAGCCCTTGAAATGACCATTTTAACGCTCAAAGCTCTGTTAAGAATTACCATTTTTGAGGAATCAAGTGCCAAATAAAAGGCTATATAAGATCTCGAGCATTTCGAACTTATTATCTATTATTCATTATTTATTTTAAAGCGTTTTCACTATTTGTTATCATTTTAGGGGATTTTTAGGCCTTAATTCTGATCTGACAACTAAATAACCGAAAACACCTTAAAACCTTGGCCCAGGGCAAAATACGCCATTTTGTGTAATATACGAGCCCAGTTCTTCAGTTGGCCCACTTCAAGATTTGTACCAAAATATGCCTTTATAAACTAAACGTGACGAACATATTTACTTCTAAAACAATTTATTTTCTCAAAAACATTTTAGATACACTCTAGTCGTAAAAAATACATATTTGAAATCACTTAGACCTATAACTAATAGAACATCTGAACAAATAAATAATGTGCGAATAAATGCGCGAAGTTAACAAAGCAACAATTGAAAAATTACCATTGGGTAACATCTCCTTTATTTTTTATTACGGCTGAAATTATTTGGGGCACAGTGTTAACCAAGGCTTGGCAAAAATTTGGTGTAAAACAATGCCATATTTCTTGAAGCTTTTGTCTCAGTTCGGTGATTGTACGAGCAAGATGTTAAGGAAGAACATTTTTCATCTCGTGCCAAACGTTTCAATAGGTGACAGATCTGGACTGCTAGAAACCCATTTCAAAAGTGGTACATTATTTTCTTCCATCCATTTTATAGCTTTTTTTGAGGTACGGCACGCTGCACCATCTTGCTGAAACACAAAACTTTGGCCGGATGTCAAACACTGTTGCATCACTGGTAAAAGAGATTCTTCTAAAATTGCCAAATATTTGTTTGTATCCACATTTCCATCAATAAAATGAAGTTTTCCTACTCCTTTTGATGACATACTGCCCCAGACCATAATGGATGCTGGAAATTTCACATTTCTCTTCAGACAGTCAACATGGAATGCTTAATTTTGTTGCGAATAACTTTACTGCAACTGTC